GAGTAGGGCCTGCAGGCCCTCGTTTTTCAGTTTTCAGGCTGAAACGACCGGGGCCTGTAGCTCCTAAGTTTTAGGCTTTAAGGCTGAATGTCCGGGACGGGTCCTACAGGGCCCGTGTGGCTACGCAGTCTGCCACACGGGTGGTGACAGTGGATGCAAATTTCATCCATCCAACCAGGATCTGTCGTTTGCAAAGGAATCTCTTCTGCTACTTCATTGAAACCTGGCAGAAAATTCTGGACGTATCGGATTCAATGGCGGTTTGAGCATCTTATTTCTTGTTTTAAACCACTGGAACAGCCGAGCCTCTTTTGTGGAGCTTGATTCACCCTCCATGCTCAGCTTTGTGGAAATGCCACCTCGGCGCTTTTTCTTTTCGTTTGGCCATTCATGTTGGTCTGCTTCCCCCGAGCCTCCGGAACTTGCGGGTTGGCTTGATTTCGCTTTCCAATTTTGCCTGGGCAATGTACTGGCGGGTTTCACACATGCACATCCATTTCTTTGTGTCCTTGGATTGGCAATTTGGCACCAGAGCGATATGGGGCGCCAGACAGTTACCAAGCACAAGTTCGTTAGAGGTTCGCCACCTGTGTGAGCAAGACATTGCAAGCCTTCTAGGCCTTTCCAGAGAAAGACGTGGTGAGGGGCCTTTCAGCCAATGGCAGCCCAGCGACCGTCATGCAGATGGGCGCGCCTAACTGCATGAGTCCCAGGGCGCTATCTGAATGGGCCTGGGCGCAGATACTGGGGCCCGACCAGAAGCTACTCTGGAAACACGGTGGCCAGGGCCATGGCTCACGAAGGCACAGCTCATTTTCCATATAGGAAAGTGAGAGCCTACCCAGGGAGTGATTCTGGCATGCTCTACCTTGCAGCCACGCTGCTGGTTTGCAGCTTGAGGTCGCTGGAGACGAGCATCAGGGCGCACACGGGCACGTAGTGGTGTGAGGGCGCAGCTGGTGCTGCGGGTTCTGGGAAGCCATAGCCCTGCTTGCTCAGCGGAGTCTGGTGCTCGCGATGGTGGTCTTCGGGTAGGAGGCGGACAATGTGGGGGATAAGAAGGTGATGAGAGAGAGTGTGAGATGAGAGACACGTACCTGGCGTATGCGGCAGTCTGCATGAGCGACTTCGTCACGTACATTGGTCTTCAGCTCAAAGTGACTCCTTGTTGCATGTCGCAGTGGTAGGCTAGCATAGGTCTGAGTAGAGGTAGTCTGGGCGCTGGGCGCCAATCAAGAAGGGCAACATTGGATACATTGGCTCTCATTGACATTTGAGCTCAGTGCATTGCTCTTATTTGGCTCGTATCTCAGTGCATTCTGCTTTCTGCTTTGGACACAACTACCTGGTCTTCAATGTGATATTGCAATTTGGTTTTCTGTCTATCACTCTTGCTCATTTTCCTTGCAGATGGATCTTGCTGGGGGGGGGGTAGGGGGGAGGGAAGGGAATCTGCTCAACAAAGCTATAAACAGAGCTATAAACAGAGTCAGTCGTTCGGTAGTGGGAATTGATCATTGACCGGATAACAATGTGAACAAAAAGTTATGTTTTACTTTGTGGATTTTTTTGGAAGTAATGTTTATAAGTGCATGCCATGCATGGACTTGGGGTACCTACGGCGCATATGCTAGACCGCACATATGCGGGCCGCAACGTGCACACGCTCAAAAGAGAAAAGAAGCTAGAAAGTGAAAATACAAGTGAATGGCCTGGTGGCTCAGTGGTTAGAGCACCGGCTGGAAATCCTTGTTGTGTTTTCAGGTTGCGGGTTCAAAACTCTGCGGCCTCGTGCACGTCCGCCGTTGTGTGCTTTCATAGCGCCCAGCCATTCGCACACCACCCTTGGGACGGTGTATGGTAAGCTTATACAGACTGTCTGCGCACCGCCCAAGGGGTCCTCGTCTGTGGTTGTTGTATGCTGGAATGGGCTTGGGGGAGGGCTGTTCGGGGGTTTGTTTGCTCGTTGTTCCGATGATCTCAGGTCTCTTCTGGTTGTCACTCCATGGGGAGGTGGGGGGTGTCCAGAGGGCACATATATGAACTTGTGGTGTGCATTCAGGAGTCAGTGGATCACATGGGGTAATACAGAAGGGCTATCTTGTCTGTGGAAGTCCTTACCGTGGTATCTAGTCGCAGATATGGTCGCACCTATAGACAGACCCTGGTAGAAGTGAAAGGACTGCTCATAGTAGCATGTACATTGTATTGAATGAGCATTGAAGAACCCCCATTCGAACCCTGCTCGAACTTCGCAGGCACATAGTAAGCACTTGACTATAGTATAGTACGCGGGTCCAGAGAACCCTAAGTCTGCTACTCCCTGCCTCTCCCTAGTGAGGTCTCTGTCTAAATGTCTGGGTACCATGGGGTTTCACGGTTAGAGGGGGACCTGCACAGTGGAGGGGAGTGGCACAGTGGGTAGTATGTCTAGGTGTGTTCCCCCTCGTGTGTGTCTCAAACCACGGGGGTTAAAAGGCTGTCTCATCTCTGGGGTGTGTGCGGAGGGAGGGGTACAGGAACCTTGTGGCAGGTAGGGCTGAATGGTTCGGGTTGCTTAATGGGTAGTTCACCATTCGAGGGGAGTAGTTGACTCACATACAAAGTGGCCTCATGGGCCACCTGCGGAGACTATATGGGTGGGTGGGAAATTGCACCGTAGGTAGAAATACTAACTGGGGTAGTGACCCGGTAGTCCAAATAGTTAGTCTGCCTGATGACCAGCAGGTGCGAGTCGATGCTTGTCTCATGGATTAGGACCACCTGGCTGGCTGGTCGTCTCTAGGCCGTGTATAGACGTTGGGGTACTCTCATAGCCCCGTTATCAGGGTCGTTGGACCCACCAGGGACCAAGCAAGGGTAGGCTATGAGATGGGTATAGGGGCTGGAGGGACTAGTAGAGAGGACGCCAATAAAATGTAGCTTGGGTAGGACTTGTACTGAGCCTGTCTCCTGAGTAGTGGGTAGGATAGGTTGATCAGGGGGTGTTGTACTGTACATTAATAGGAGGGAGGTAGGCCCTCTACGCCTGTCCGAGGGGGGATCGGCTAGGGATCTGCTAAGTCAATGGTTGGGGGACAAAGCTGCTTAGAGTGGGCCCGCAATACATCCAGTTGGAGGTTGGATCTGTAGGGACAGAATCTGGATCTCTGGTGGCAAGCTGTATGGTGTGGAAGGGACACGACTTGCGATAGGACTTAGGGCTCTAAGCCTGTAGAGGACTCCGTTTAGGAAGGTCCAGAGGGCCAAGTGGGTTATTTCGAACTTTGAGTGACTGAACCCCGGAGAGTATTCCCATGCCTGATACCCTGCCTCTACGACAACGTGGGCGTTTAGAAAAAAAAAAAGGTGATGTGAGATGTTATTTGAGCCACTCTTGGCAGAGGCACTACCTGAAAATTGATTAGCTTTTCTCCACTCCACTGCAAAACGCACAATGCACATGTGCAGATGTGAGGATATGAATGAACGAAAGACAGCTCAGGGGCCATAACGGGGGTTCGGACCATTGGGGGCAGAGCCAATTGAAGCGTGTGCTGCTTGAATGAAAAGAAGGCGAAGCAAACCAAAGCACACGTGTATTTCCTATTTCGTGACCAAACGAATTGAAGTGTGCACCCCCGGAATAAAAGGCGAAAGAAACCGAAGCACGCACGATGCCCACTATGGTTGGTGAGAATTGGAGGGTCCAGACATGGAGGAGTTGGTATTCTTCGGCGTGACCAAGAGAATTTTTAAATGTTTGTTCGGTTCATGATATTGTGTGAGTGCGCATTCCGTTTGTGTGTGCCAAAAAAAAGTCAAACAACTTCCCTCAGCTCAATGCCGATTTGTGGGTTCATCTTGCACCGGCGTAGGAACCGCCAAGCAAAACTTCTGAACCCGTGTGTTCTGTGTGTGCATGAACTATTCTGAACGTCAATGCAGTGTGTTTGTGTGGAAACAACATAAAAAAGAAGTGATGGCTATGGGCAAATTCTGGGCTGGCAAAATCCATCATGGTATTGTCCTGCAAATAATTGGGTGTGTTCATTGTTGGGTACAAAGTTATACTTGTCATGAACCAACCACTTACTGATTGATGACTGATTCCTGACTGGCCATGGCTTCCGGTGTTTTGCTGGAATGAATACCTCTGGGGCTCTTAATGGGTAGATGGGGGAGGTGTATGGGGATGAAGATGGATGGATCTGCCAAGGTGTCTTTGAAGTTTGGAGAACCTAGTTTAGTCATTGCCGCTGCTCGTTGGCAATGTTTGGACAGGAACATCTTCTGGAGTCTATGGATTCTGATGCCGTCGACCGTATTCTGAAGAGGCTCACTGAGTTGAGGCAGTCTCTGCTGGACCAGGGGTTTGCTGAGCTCACATTTGAAGATTTTCTTGCAGTGAGTGGCCCCCAGTCTCCTTCCCCCCCCTTCCTTCCCCCATTTTCCTCCTCCTCCCC